ATCTCGCAATATCCTTTGGCGAATGGAATGGTAAGGCCCATCCCAGAAAATGATACGAAATTACAACGACAAATCGTCATTTCAGCTACGATACGGTGAAATAAGTTTTCAGGGCATCGAATGAATTGCCTTCCATTCCGTTGAAATGGATAATTTACTCCTGTCAAATCGTTCACGAGGACAAATTGTGCATCACAAAACGTTGAACGTTGCGGAACAAAAGGAAAAATAAAATATGTCCCATCGTTCGTTGTAATATCGCTGTGTAATCCTTTCTCGCTTTGTGCAACGCGCTTTTCTTCCTCTTTGTTCGAGAATTTTACGAAATCTTACGAGATCTGACATGATCATGACGGATGAAAAATTTTTTTCACCATTAGATAATTCAAAAATCTTTTGAACGTGTCTTTTACTCGTATAGGGATGATTTATAAAGAAAAAAGATAATTTTTAATTTTAACTTTAATTTTAATCCTCAAGAAGATAAATATAAGATTAGAATGAAATGCGAATTAACATGAACAATATAAAAAAAAGGATGGAAATAATAATAATATTTTTAGTGATTCTAGATAATCATCATAGATATTTGCAAAAGAGATCAACTCTATTGCAAAACAACGATGATTGCTTGAACGAGAAATAAAAACTTTAATAGAGCAAATAGGAGAATTAATAAGATTTGCATTTTTTTTTCTAACGAACAAGGTTATTATAAAAATTATTATAAAAATCTTTCACAATCTACTTTTTTCATCGAACTCTTGCGCCAGTATCCGTGCCTCTGCTACGCAACTTTCTTAATAGTACGTAGCACATGCTCGATACAGTTATTATAATAACGTTCAATTATGATCAGGCTGATCGTGATCGACAATGCATTGTCTTTTGTTTCCTTTTGCTTCGAGCTGTTCAATTCTCATTTAAACTGTTCAAGTACCAAATTACAGAATCGTATCCCCCACCGAGGAAATATAATAATTTTATTTCATTTTCAAGGAGATACTTTTAATTCAATTTCGAGGATATATATGTAAATATTTATACGTAATACGTGCACACATATCTATAATATAATGTAACTCGAAGAAACATTAATTCTTTCAAGATTGAATTTCTTTTCTCGGCTCAAGAAATAAATATTCCTCATCAATTATTATTAACAACAGGAACTTAAACGTCTCCTTTGAATTTTCTTTGAAGACTAAATTGCTAAAATACAATAGCAATAGAATTAACGCTAATCCTAGTTCTCCTTTTATCACCTTTTTCTACCGTATTTCATATTTTATTATTCAAACTCAATATCTAGTGAAATTATCTTACTGTTATATCGATATTAATTCATCTTGAACGAAGGAGATCGAATGATCTTCCAAGATTGCAACAATAAAATCATTTTTTATTTGTGTCTTGTGTCAAAATATCTAAAAGGTATCTAGGCAAAGAAAAAGATCATTCGAGCGTTTCGAGACTCAGATTTTTTTTTTTTTTTTTTTTTATCAATGGAAGCCCAATCTAACATGTAAGAAAATCAGGGTTTCGTCGGACAAGTATCGAGGTCAAACAGAGAAAGCAGCAGCTCGGCTACGGTGATACAAGGATCTTATGTAATTCATAATCGCGCCTCTCCTTTATCGAAATGAAAGACACGCAAAAGATTTACTTATCTTTAGTGTCATCGTGGTAAATAAGGAGTAAAAATTGGAGGCAATTTTTTTTTTCTTTTTCTTAAACGCAGGAAGAGAGATATATTTATACACTTCTTATGCACGAAAACAAATTGTTATTCAAAGTTGCATTCAAAATCTTGGATTATTTAAATGTTAATGATATGGTAATTGGCAGTTATTCATAAAATTTAAGAGAATATATTCTTCTCTAAAGAAAATATTCTACTAAGAATAATTACTGTCAAATTTTTATTATTCGATGTTGAATTATAGTTTTAATCAAATCGGTGTTCCATTGAATGAATTGAAACAATAATTTTTTTTTTCCTGAGAAGTTAACTAGTGATTAAATTAATTTAACGATAATCTAGAA